CCCTGCTCCCAAAATGCTCTGTGCAGCTGCAGCAATCGTCATCTATCTGAAATGCTGGAAAAATCTGTCCAGTCTACTCCGCGGTAGGACTTCCAACACTAAAACCAATGCAACCTACAAATGGCATAGTGACATGAGAGGACAGATCACTGCCTCACAAAAGCTCAGGATTATATTGTCCAGAATACTCAGCTCTACTGGGGCATGGGTATGCTGACCCCTCTCCTACCTCTACAGAAATACTCAGCTCTACCAGGGTACGCTGACCCTCTCCTACCTCTACAGAAATACTCAGCTCTTCCAGGGTATGCTGACCCTCTCCTACCTCTACAGAAATACTCAGCTCTTCCAGGGTATGCTGACCCTCTCCTACCTCTACAGAAATACTCTCTACTGGGGCATGCTGACTCTCCTACCTTCAGGGGCATGCTGACCCTCTCCTACCTCTACAGAAATACTCAGCTCTTCCAGGGCATGCTGACATGCCCCCTCTCCTACCTCTACAGAAATACTCAGCTCTTCCAGGGCATGCTGACCCTCTCCTACCTCTACAGAAATACTCAGCTCCCTTCCAGGGGGGCATGCTGACCCTCTCCTACCCTACAGAAATACTCGGCTCTCCTACCTCTACAGAAATACTCAGCTCTTCCAGGGTACGCTGACCCTCTCCTACCGCTACAGAAATACTCAGCTCTTCCAGGGTATGCTGACCCTCTTCTACCTCTACAGAAATACTCAGCTCTTCCAGGGTATGCTGACCCTCTCCTACCTCTCTACAGAAATACTCGGCTCAGCTCTTCCAGGGCATGCTGACCCTCTCCTACCTCTACAGAAATACTCAGCTCTTCCGGGGTATGCTGACCCTCTCCTACCTCTACAGAAATACTCAGCTCTTCCGGGGTACGCTGACCCTCTCCTACCTCTACAGAAATACTCAGCTCTTCCAGGGTACGCTGACCCTCTCCTACCTCTCCAGAAATACTCGGGGGCTCTTCCAGGGGGCACGCTGACCCTCTCCTACCTCTACAGAAATACTCAGCTCTTCCAGGGTACGCTGACCACTCTCCTACTGACCTCTACCGCTACAGAAATACTCGGCTCTTCCAGGGTATGCTGACCCTCTCCTACCTCTCCAGAAATACTCTGCTCTTCCGGGCATGCTGACCAATAACCCCTATACAGAACAGCAATACTCTGCTCTATGGAGGGGCACGCCGACCAACTACCCTAGTCTCCAGAAATACTCTGCTCTTCTGGGGCATGCTGACCATCTCTACTTCTACAGAAATACTCAGCTCTTCCGGAGCATGCTGACCCTCTCCTACCTCTACAGAAATACTCAGCTCTACTGAGGTATGCTGACCCTCTCCTACTCTACAAAAATATTCTGCTCTTCTAGGGTAGGATGACCCTCTCCTACCTCTACAGAAATACTCGGCTCTACTGGGGCATGCTGACCCTCTCCTACCCCTCTACAGAAATGCTCAGCTCTTCCAGGGCATGCTGACCCTCTCCTACCTCTACAGAAATACTCATGCTCTTCTACAGGGTAGGATGCTGACCCTCTCCTACCTCTACAGAAATACTCGGCTCTGCTGACCCTCTCCAGGAAATACTCGGCTCTTCTAGGGTATGCGGACCGTCTCCTACCTCTACAGAAATACTCAGCTCTTCTAGGGTATGCTGATCAATACCCCACTTTCCAGCAATACTCTGCTCTACGGAGGCACACCAACCAATACCCTACTCTCCAGAAATAGTCTGCTCTTCTGGGGCATGCAGACCCCTACATTACTCTACAGAAATACTCTGCCGAGGCATGACAACCAATACTCTATTCTCCAGAAATACTCTGCTCTACTGGAGGCATGCCAACCCCTACATTACTCTACAGAAATACTCTGCACTACTGAGGCATGCTGACCCCCATCCTACTCTTTATAAATATTCGGCTCAACTGGGCCATTCTGACTCCTATCCTACTCTCCAGCAACACTCTGCTCTTCTGGGGCATGGTGACCCCTCCTCTACTGAACATGGAATACACCGTCACCTGTCCTGTCTGCTTCATTGCAGGTCTCTTTTAACTAGCACAGTCACATATTGGTGGGGCTGGGGGTCATTGACCAAGCACTAAATGATCTAAAACCAAGTAAAAAAAAATTATATATATTACAGCTTAACAATCCTTAGAAGTACTATTTCATTATTAATATACAGGATTTATATAGCGCCAACAGTTTGCACAGCACTTTACAATGTGAAGGCAAAGAGTACAGTTACAATACAATTGAATACAGGAGGAATCAAAGGGCCCTGCTTGTTAGAGCTTGCAATCTAAAAGGGTAGGGTCAAGTGATACAAAAGGTAATAACTGATGGGATGAGCTGATGGAGAAAATACAAGTACAGTAAGGTGGAGGCAGAATAGGCTTCTCTGAAGAGAAAAATTTTCAGGGACTGCCTAAAAGTGGACAGCGTAGGAGATAATCTGACAGATTGGGGTAGGGAATTCCATAGAAGGGAAGGGCACAGGAGAAGTTCTGCAGGTGAGCAAGGGAGGAGTTGACAAGGGAGCAGGAGGTCATGGGAGGAACAAAGAATGCGATTTGGTTGGTATTTAGAGACCAGGTTAGTGATGTAGCTGGGGGCCAAGTTGTGGATGGCTTTGTAAGTTCTTGTTAGTATTTTGAATTTAATTCTTTGGGCGAGTGGCAGCTAATGAAGGGATTGGCAGAGAGGGGTAGCAGACATTGAACAGATGGTAAGGTGGATGAGTCTGTCAGCAACATTCATGAAGGACTGGGGGGGAAAGCCAATGTAAAGGTAAGTGAATGAGGAGGGAGTTGCCGTAGTCGAGGCGAGAGATAACCTAGAAGTGAACTAGGAGCTTTGTGGTGTCATTGGTTAGGAAAGGGCGTATTTTGGAGATTTTGTGGAGGTCGAGTCGGCAAGCTTTGGAAAGTGATTGGATGTGGGGCCGAAAGGAGAATTCAGAGTCCAGGATGGCACCTAGCACCCTGGCATGCAGGGATGGGTTGTTGGTTGTGCCATTGATCTTGACAGAACAGTCAGGGGAACAGGCATGTGGGGCTTGTTTTTGGATAGATTGAATTTGAGGAAGTGGTGTAACATCCAGGCTGATATGTCGGTCAGTAAATTAAGTCCTGTACACATGATGAGATCATCGGACGAACAATCGTCCGTTTTCTTTCGCCTGCTGGTCTCACATCGAAATTGAAAGAATTTCGAAAATGTCGTCATGTATCTGTATTGTATTTTCGGATGACTACTGTACTGAATAAACTAAAATCGTCCGAGAAAATTTTTCGCACTTATCCCTTCGGATATCGTCGCACGAATTGTCATGAAAGGCTCTTGAAAGCTGTATAGTAACGATCTGATTATCGCACGATCGGTCCTCATATGAAAATTTTCACACGCTGTCGTGTGTACGGGGCCATTGGTGTTATGTGAGGAGACTGTTGTGAGCTAAGAGGTAGAGAGATAGATTTGGGTTTCGTCAGCATAGAAATGATATTGAAAGCCATGGGAGGCTATCAGCTGATCTTGGGAAGAGATGTAGAACTAGGAAAGGTCCAAGAACAGAACCTTGGGGGACCCCAACAGAGAAAGGAAGAGGAGAGGAGGAAGTAGAATTGTAAGTGACACAGGAGGTGCAGTGGGATAGGTAGGATGAGAACCAGTGAAGAGCACAGTCACAGATACCAAAGGAGTAAAGTGTTTTGAGAAGGAGGGGGTGGTCAACGTATCAAGGCAGTTGAGAGGTCCAGAAGGAGTACAGAATAGTATCCATTGGTTTTTGCGGTTAATAAAGAGCAGTTTCTGTGGAGTGTTGAGGGCAAAATCTAGACTGAAGGGGATGAAGGATATTCTTAATGGAGGGGAATGCTCATTTGGTTATTGACCAGGCGTTCAAGGAGTTTGGAGGAAAGAGGGAGCAAGGAGATGATTGTTAAGACTGGTGAGATCCAAGGAAGGCTTTTTAAGTATGGGGTGACTAGTGCATGTTTTAGAGTGTTGGGAAAGGTGCCAGAAGAGAGGGACAGAGTGAAGCTACGAGGGAGGGAGGGGCTGAAGCTACGAGGCAGGGAGGGGCTGAAGCTACGAGGCAGGGAGGGGCTGAAGCTACGAGGCAGGGAGGGGCTGAAGCTACGAGGCAGGGAGGGGCTGAAGCTACGAGGCAGGGAGGGGCTGAAGCTACGAGGCAGGGAGGGGCTGAAGAAACAAGGGAGGGGCTTAAGAAACAAGGGAGGGGCTGAAGAAACAAGGGAGGGGTTGAAGAAACAAGGGAGGGGTTGAAGAAACAAGGGAGGGTTGAAGAAACAAGGGAGGGGTTGAAGAAACAAGGGAGGGGGTTTAAGAAACAAGGGAGGGGTTGAAGAAACAAGGGAGGGGTTGAAGAAACAAGGGAGGGGTTGAAGAAACAAGGGAGGGGTTGAAGAAACAAGGGAGGGGTTGAAGAAACAAGGGAGGGGTTGAAGAAACAAGGGAGGGGTTGAAGAAACAAGGGAGGGGTTGAAGATATGAGGGCGAGAGTGTAGGATAGAGCCAGAGGGTGACTACAGTATTTGAGAGGGAACAGGGTCCAGGGGACAGGTGGTTAGGTGGGCATTAGAAAGAAGTTTAGGAACCTCGTCTGTAGTTGAATGAACGTAGTGCTGAGTGTACCTGTGGACATGGGGTTTTAAGTGGGGGAGTTATTTGTAGAGTGGAAATTTAATTATGAATTGCAACAATTTTATTTTAGAAGTGATTGGTGATCTTTTTATTTCTGATTGTAATATTATATTTTAACCACATTTAAAAAAAAAAAAAAAGAAAAGCTAAAAGACCCTCGCCTCCCCACCCCCTATCTACCCTACTTTTGCAAAAGGAGCACAAAGGTGCATGGACAGAATATAGTAATTTGTTTTTTATTCTAAGGCTTTTTCCCCCCCTCTATTTTTGTTGATCCTGCCAGCAATACGTTTCCTGTCCTAGGGTGACGATACTCTCTCACTGAATTGTGCCTGTGAAGGAGCAACCTTGGCACCCTGGGACAGAACACCATTTCTACTCTTCTCCATAACATAGGGGAGGTGTTCTGTAGGGCACATATAACTGAGAACTATGTAACTGATGACAGAGAGCACAAGAAGCTGTAAGCTCACAAGATTTTTGACAAGATAAAAAAGTATTTTAACTTCTCAAACAGATTTAAAAGTGATACTAAAGGTTCAGGTGAAAAGAAAAAAATAAAACAAACATGTCATACTTACCTGCTCTGTGTAACGATTTTGCACAGAGCAGCCCCGATCCTCCTCTTGGATACCCTGCCGGCGCTCCTGGTTCCTCCTTCCTGTCGGGTGCCCCCATAGTAAGTAGCTTGCTATGGGGGCACCTGAGCAGGCACTACTTTGCATGTCCAATCACACACAGAGCCGTGGCTCGGCCCATCCCCCCACTCTCCTTATTGGCTCAATGAGTGTGATTGACAGAAGCGGAAGCCAATGGCTCTGGCTGCTGTCTCAGCCAATGAGGAGGCAGAAACCCGGGACAGCCGAGGTTTTCATGCACATTACTGGATCGTGATGTGGCTCAAGTAAGCAATAGGGGGCTGCACACAGAAGGTTTGTTGCTTTCATGCATAGAATGCAAGAAGGTAAGAACCACTTTAACATAAGAACTTCAGTGGTTTGTTTAAAGTGTTACTAAACCCACAACAGTACAATCAGTCTGTATATGCAGTAAAGCATGCTTGTTGTTATACTCACTGCGCAAGAGGTTAATCCTTCACATTGAGTAAAAAGGCTGTCTGATCCTGACTTCTCTGATCGGGGAGGATTCTTCCATTGACCCCTCTTATCGCCTGATAAGACATATCGTGTCGAGTCACTCTGCACATGCTCAGTTTGGTCTGTATTGCTAGAGAGGGTTTTTTTTTTTTTCTAACTTGGGAGAGTGCATGTGATCAGCACACACACTGTTTGACACAAGACTGCTCTAACTGTTGATGAGCAAAGGTATTTAGCAGTTTACCTGTAAAACCATTCCTGCTTTGGGGGTCGTCTCATTGTTGCCCATCTAGTGCACCTGTTAATTTCAATAACACCAAAGCAGCTGAAACTGATTAACAACCCCCTCTGCTACTTACCTGACCAGATCAATATCCCCAGGAGTTTCATTGACTTAATACTATACTCTGATTAAGAAATGTTCCTTTAATTTTTTGAGCAGTGTATTTACTAATGCTAGCAGCAAAAGGATGAAAAATAATCAATGTTGATTGAGAGAGAGAGTTTCCCCTTTAATGCAGAAGAGACACCTCTACCTGTTCACCCCTTTTGAATTTTTTACCTCCTTAACTGATTCTAGTAGGTTTGTGCATGTGCATGCATGTGAGATAATTGGTCCTTAGATTGTAAGGTCTTTGAGGGCAGAGATGGATATAAACCGTATGTACCAGTATGTAAAAAGTGCTGTGCAAATTGTTGGCACTATATAAATACCTGTAATAAATCAGTTAAGGGACTTAAAACTTATGATGTAGGCTAAAAACACTGAACAAAAGAATCTGGTAAAGCTTAGTAATGATGATGAGATACTTAGAAAATGTATATTATATAGGGCGCGCTTGTTGGAGCCCAACCTCTGTAGCTGTAGGATAAAGGTGCCAGATGGATATCAGGGATGGATGGATGGGAGCAGTAACACTGAGGCAGCTCTTCTTATAGTGGAAGCAAGGCTTTAATGCAGTAACAAGAAAAAGAGGAAGGCGCCTCTAAGTGGAGTATTGACAAGGTCTGAAGAAGGAGCCTATTGAGCATACTCCGAAATGCATTACCGTCCCCCTTCACCTCCTACATCCGACTCTGCTCTCCTAGCTTCATTTCGATGCACAGGCACATCCTGGACTCTACTTTCTGATGCTATAGACCAGTAGTTCTCAACCTGTGGGTCGCGACCCCTTTGAGGGTCGAACGACCCTTTCACAGGGGTTGCCTAAGACTATCAGGGAAAACACATATTTCCAATGTGTAAAGAGCAGCTACTGTGTAGAAAGCAGCTGCTGTGTTGAAAGCAGCAGTAATGGAGGTAAAACAACACTTCATGAATTATAATTACTGGGTAAATAATTTTATGGTTGGGGGTCACCACAACATGAGGAACTGTATTAAAGGGTCGCAGCATTAGGAAGGTTGAGAAACCACTGCTTTATGCAGGCCATAGACGGGGAGAAAACCGGCCGATTTTTCTTTTAAAAAAATCTGTCGTTCAAGCGGCCGACGTTACCAGCAACGGTAAAAAAAAAAAATATCGGCCGATTTTCATCCCGTCTACAGCCGGCAAAAAGTGTCCCTGCAGAGAGCTCCGCTATTTCTTTGAAATTTATAGCGGATGCAACAATGTATCTATTTGTATCCATTTAGGATACAGATGTTTTTATTTGGTAATATATAGATACATTGTTGCAACCGCTGTAAATGTCAAGGAACTGTCAAAGAAATAGCGGAGCTCTCTGCAGAAACACTTTTTGCCGGACTGGAATTCCTCTTCTTCTTCATCCTCATCCTCTTCTTCATCCTCTTCCTCTTTTTCTTCTTCTTTTTGTCTTCCTCTTGCAGGTCACTGCTCATGAGCAGATTTTTTTTTAATCGGTAATCGGCCGATTTTTTTTTTCCAACTTTACCGATAAAAAAAATCTGCCAAAATACCGAAAAACGGCCGAAAAATTAGCCCACTAACGATCCGAAAATCAGCCGATTTTATTTTCGGCCGAAAAAAAATCGGCCGATTTTCGACCCATCTATGGCCTGCAATAGACAGATTTTCCTGCTGGACGGCTGGATGTCCCACCTGGATCTAATTAGCACAGGATGAGTCTTTTTAACGATTTATCTTGTAAGTGCAATTTATCCATTGTTTACTAAATCAATTGTCAATACTGCACTTAGAGGCATCTTCCTCTCTTTTTCATGATGAGACATTTACCTGGTCCATGCTTTCTGGAATAAACTCCCCTTCACTGTTAATGCTGGTAAAGGAACCATTTCGAACACCATGGTGCAGTTCATCTGGAATGTATCCTGGTGGAGGGGAACTCCTATCCCTGGTACCTATAAAAAGCATAAATCAGAAGGAGGAATTCTAAACAAAAACCTCCCTTTACTGCAGTGATGCCTTAAACATATTTAGTTGTGTTAGCAAAAAAAAAAAAACTGCTAATATAGCATAAAAATATCTACATCAGTGGTTGTCAACCAAGGCATGGGTGGCCTTAAGGCCTGAGAGCAACCTTATATCATGTTTGAGGACATGAGATAGTCCGGTATTTTACACAGCTATTATGGAGGAATTTTTGGAGATTGCGTATTGGGAAAATCCTAAAGGCTTTTGTTTATTCGATTTAAGGTAAGAGTATTTACTCTAGCCACATAGATGTGCTCACGGGGTGTTTTCACTTTTTCACGTGTTTCACAGTTTTTTCACATATTGACAGTTACAGTTCATTTACAATTCAAAATCCTAACGCTGACGTACAAAGCTGTCCACCATACTGCCCCGAACTACATCACTGACCTAATACCCAAGTACCGCCCAACACGCACACTCCGCTCCTCACAAGACCTCCTTCTCTCTAGTTCCCTGGTCTCCTCCTCCCATGCCCGCCTCCAGGACTTCTCCAGGGTGTCACCCATCCTCTGGAACTCCCTGCCCCAACCCATCAGATTATCACCTACTCTCCTCTCCTTTAGGCGCACCCTGAAAACCCATCTCTTCAGGGAAGCCTACCCCACCCCCCTGCTAACTTGCCGACCTCCTCCACTCTTCCTACCACTCCATCCCCCACAGCTATCTCCTCCTGTACCACCATCCCCTCCCTCCTAAATTGAAAGCTCCAAGAGCAGGGCCCTCAATCCCCTCATGTTTTGCATTGTATTGGTATTGTTCTGTCACATGTTCTGTCCCCCTTTGTAATGTACAGCGCTGAGCGAACTATTGGCGCTTTATAAATACTGTATAATAATAATAATAATATATGTTTTGATTATTTGAATATTGAGGATAATACACTATCTAGTTTTTTTTTATATATATATATTTTTTTTTTTTTTGGAGGTATACAGCGGAAGTCGACCACACACTTGGATTATTTTATCGAAGGAATGAATAATTGAGAAGATTCACTGACACTAAGGGCTTGTTCACACTTGACTGTTTTTTCCAACTCTTGCCAAACGCCCCTATAGCGTTTGACAAGTGTTGGTCCAGCGTTTGCGGAGCGTTAACGCTCCGCATGCGCGGTTTCGCGGTGATTGCTACTGTGTATGCCAAGCGTTAAAAATGCCCCACAAACACCTATAATGAAGTTTCAATGGTGTTAACGCCCCGCAAACCGCACCACAAACGCTGGCCGGGCGTTTGCGGAGCGACACCATAGACATGAATAGGAGGCTTTAACTCCTCCTGACTGGACCAAAGGTATCCATTTTGCCGCGACGCGAACGCTCCTGTTTGAACAGCATCATGTGCTGCAATGTGCAGAATTTTCCCAGGTTTGGGAAACGGTAAAAGCGCTTCCCAAATGCCTGTCTGCCGCTTGCTAACAAGGCTAGTGTAAAACGTAGCCTTAGAGGGTTTATCATTTATTTTGGACTTTCAAGGGTGAAAGTGTCACTTTTTAAGTGTCAATTTCAGGGTTATTGGGTTTTTTTTTGTTATTTTATTTGGAGCAACGGTTTGTGATTTTGTATAGCCTTAAGGCCTGGTTCACACCTATGCAGTATGCTTTGGATCCATTTCCTCTTTTCTTTTTTTTTTTTTGTTATGCAGGTTAAAAACGCAAAATGAATTAGGAAAAAAAAAAACCACGCATCAACATGCATTTCTGCTGCGTATCTATTCTAAGTCTATTGAACCAAAAATGCACGCGTTTAAAAAAAGTTCTTTACCCTTTCTAAAAACACAGCGGCTGAAAAAAACGCATAGATGTGAATGTGTCCCATAGAAAACTGTAGTGCGTTTCTGCAAAAAAACAAAAAAGCACTAAATAACACAAGTGTCAACCAGGCCTAACTGGCACCTAATGGCGCCAAAGGCCTGCATATTATCTGGTGTATGACAGAATTCTCAGAGACTTCAGGAATACTTGAGATGATGATTGGCAGACATGCGCTACAGGCAATAGAAAGACTGTAAACATGCTACACAAGACTGCTAGATCACTGTCATTTTAGCCTCTTTAAAAACGAATGTTTCCACCGAATGCAGTACTAGGGTCATCTGTTCGAATCCCAACCACGGCACCACCTGCCTGGAGTTTGCATGTTCTCCCTGTGCCTGCGTGGGTTTCCTCCGGGTACTCCGGTTTCCTCCCACACTCCAAAGACATGCTGGGAGGTGAATTTGATCCTGTCTAAATTGTCCCTAGTATGTGTATGTATGAATGTGAGTTAGGGACATTAGATTGTACGCCCCTTGAGGGTTGGGGACTGATGTGAATGTACAATATATATGTAAAGCGCTGCGTACATTGATGGCGCTATATAAGTACCTGAAATAAATAAATAAGGCAAAAATAAAAGAAGGTGGCACAAATAGAGGTACATTCCCAATGTGCTTCTTCTATTCTTAGTTATTGTGAAGTTATCTTGCCATTTCCCTGATTACTTGATTTTTGATGCTGGGCTGGCAGCTGCTATTGAAACAGCTAACCCTCCCCAAGCATTTTCAGAACCTGAAATCAGGGAAAGAGGAGCCAAAGGTGGCGATGTCACTTCCGGTCTCAATCTCCCAGTGTTGTCAGCACCCAGAAACATGGGAAGCAGCGCCCCGAGCGAATGTCGCTTCCTGTCTTGACGTCTCAAACGCCATCGGCACCGGGAAGTACTTTCTCCAGTACACATGCACTGCGCTCCAACAAAGCTCCTCAGCCTGCACAAAGCATAGTCGGGCACATACAGCTCCTACCCTCCACCCCCTACTTTGGCAAGGGAACAGGAGTGAAAAAGGTGGGAACGTCCCTCCCAGTCTTGACATTAGGCCTCAGGGAAATCTGTTGAATTTATTTTAAATAAACTTCAGAGACTGAACTATTAATGTTAGAGCTGACATCTGGGCCATTGGTTATAGGTTGACGGTTCATCTATTTTAATACTGAGCTGGGATTTATCATGTCTGCACAGGAAGGCTTTTTTTTTATGACAAATTTAGCTTAAAATATTTGGAGGGAAATCTAAATCTCCAGCTTCTTTATGGGCGACTCAGACTGGTGAGAGGTTTGCGGTGTTGGCGGGGTGCCACAAGTAACGCTGGGATGCCGCCAGTTTCTGTACACGGCCTGTTGCTTACACCAAGGTGATATCGGAGATTAAACTGCTTTCCTGATAGCTGCCGGAGGCAATTATTATGACAGAGGTGGGTGATGGAGGCCCTATTGATACTTCATTAAAACATAGCACCTACCAAGAATCGCAGTCCTGTCTTTCCTCTCCGTTCCTCCAAATACTGTGTTATCTAGGTCTTCCAGGCAGGGCATGTGCTCCATGTCACATGGGCTGGGGGCCTATGAAATATAAAACATGAACATTAGTTGAAAATCTTACGATGTTTCAGCCATCTATACTGTAGTACAACATATGCTAAGTATTCAGGAATTTAACAACAGCAGACAGAAATGCTAAAGGGGCTACTATACAGAGCAAGTGGAAACACACCCAGTTACTGTGGATGCTGAACAATAACTGAAGAAGCCTTTTCTTCCTGCCATTCTGTTCTCCCAATGGAGTGCCACTGTAGTAGTTACCCACCAGCCCTGATGTCACCAGCTGTTAAAAGGGCCAAGAATAAGCGAATGACACTCCATTACATTCCAATGTAAACGGTTCATTCAGTGTGGACAAACAGACGTGAAGCTCCTCCTGGGACCTCATCCTGATACTTTTCACTCATAAACTGGACTTAATAGACCCAGTTTTTGGGTGAAATGCATCATGGGAGGGGGTGGTGGTAGTGGTGTGCCCAGTCCCAGATGGGGGCCTAATTCTGTTTGTCTGGATTAATAAAGCTATCCATGGTGAATTTTAAAAGGATTGCCACCAGTGCTTTGTTGGAGCACAAGACAAGCCTTGCTTAGTAATGCAACCCAGGCCACAGGGCAGGTGACCTAGAGTTAAAGGCTTGGGAGCAGTGCATACCTGTTTGTTTGATATCACCAGTTGTGGCAGAACATTTGTCCGATTGGAAGAGTACCCCTGCACAAAACCACTGACAGCCAACACTGGAACAACCCAATCAAGTGAATGGGGCAGCACAGTGGCTAAGTGGTTAGCACTTCCTCCTGGCAGTACTAGGGTCGTTGGTTCAAATCCCAAACCATGGCACCACCTGCCTGGAGTTTGCATGTTCTCTCTGTGCCCGCGTGGGTTTCCTCCGGGTACTCCAGTTTCCTCCCACACTCCAAAGACATGCTGGCAGGTGAATTGGCTCCTGTCTAAATTGGCCCTAGTATGTGTATGTATGAATGTGAGTAGGGAGCTTAGATTTTACACCCCCTGAGGGTCAGGGGCTGATGTGAATGTACAATATATATGTAAAACGCTGAGTAAATTGATGGCTCTACATAAGTACCTGAAATAAATAACACATCACAAGACCAGGGGCAGACTGACAACTCATGGGGCCCCCGGGCAATAGGGGATCATGGGGCCCCTGTGTCCTCACCCACACTCAAACCACATCCAAAAAAAGCCTATAAAAAAGGTACTAGGGGCATCTCATGGGGCCCCCTACTGACCCTGGGCCCTCGGGCAGTGCCCCAGTGCCCGAATGGTCAGTCCGCCCCTGCACAAGACTGCATTGTATACATTAGACAGGCTTCCTTGGCAGCTGGTAACATCAGGGTTGGAAGGGGGAGCAACTACAGCTGCCATGAGAGTATTTATGTTTTTTTTTGAACCAAAGTGTCAGAGGCAGCAGAAAATTGTAAAGATTCATTCATGAATACAGGAGAACAAATTGGCAGGATAAAACTGCTTTAACTACTCCGCATCTACAGCGATGGGGTTTGCTTTAATCTGCTACGAAGAGAGTAAGAAAAAGTATTAAAAAAAAAAAAAAAGTAAATTTTTATTTCTGATGGTGGATAGTTTTATCATACGTTTAAAAGCAAACAAAAAAAAAAAAAAAAAGAAAGCTAAATATAACTGTCCCTTACTCCCTTCCCCCACCCCAATACCAGGCCTGAACACCCCCTCGCTCTCCTGCTGTGGAAACTGTCCGGTCCCACAGCCCTTATGCACTATATACAACCTTGTGCTTGATGCAACGTAGTGCACTCAATGTAATATTACTCATGTTATTGCTGTGCAGTACGCAAGGTCTTCGGTCCCAAGGGGCAAAATACGATCTGGGCTACACCTTACTATTCTGGATGCTACAATGTGCCTAATTTCAGTCTGTAACAGATCTTTGCACTGCAAAGTATGCCATTGTCTTTCGTACATGTCAGTATTTTTCTAAATAAAGAATGACCTTGCTATCCCTAGAAAATGCTGCAAAAAAAAAAAAAAAAAAGGTTTTTGGGGAATGAAAAGTTAAAAACGGCTGGGAAAAATAAATTCTTACTGAGTGAAACTGTTGTAAAAATGCTAGGTGCCAGGCGGTTTCAGTAATCTCTAAGTCTCTGACCTGAAGTAAGCAGCTCAGAAAAGGTCAGAGACATACATGCCAGACATAAAACTAGCATTGCTCAGCAATGGCAGCATCCGTGTTTCTCTCATGACAGGCCTGCTTTGATGCTTCAGCCGCGGAGTTTCTAAAGCTGCCCATACACGGATCGAAATTCAGCCAGCTCAGCAGGGATCTGCCAAACTTCAATCACTGTGTTCCTGCTCAACAGAAGTCGATCTTTTGACTGATTTCTATTGAAAGGACATGTTGGAAATTTTTCCTCCATCAGCGGTTGTGGCCAATCAAATGCAGCTACTGATTAGTGTATACAATGTACCAGCGGAGGGGTGATTCCTCCATTCACCTTGTTTCTATGGATGGAGGGATTTGTTTTTTTAAAAATAAAAGAAAAAAACAAAAAAAGTTAAAACTACCAGTGTATGACCAAAACGTAGAATAACACAGAATCAGGTCTATGGAAAAAGTTAAAAAGGATAAGATCACCTTTTAAGAAAAAAAATAATAAAATGCACATATTTTTGCAGGAAAAAAAGAAAAAAAAGTGCATTTATTATTTTTCCCTGCAGATCAGTGGAGCAATGGTCAGGCTTCTGAAGGCAAGCCCTGAAGCTTTCTGCCTGTACCTCCATATGGGCTTATCTGTTGATCAGTGGAGCAATGGTCAGGCTTCTGCAAGGCAACCCCTGAAGCTGCCTGTACCTCCATATGGGCTTGACTGTTGATGAATGGAGCAATGGTCAGGCTTCTACAGGCAAGCCCCTGCAGTTTTCTGCTTGTACCTCCACATGGGCTGGTCTGTTGATGAGTGGAGCAATGGTCAGGCTTCTACAGGCAACCCCTGCAGCTTTCTGCCTGTACCTCCATATGGGCTTGTCTGTTGAGTGGAGCAATGGTCAGGCTTCTGAAGGCAACCCCTGAAGCTGCCTGTACCTCCATATGGGCTTGTCTGTTGAGTGGAGCAATGGTCAGGCTTCTGAAGGCAACCCCTGAAGCTGCCTGTACCTCCATATGGGCTTGACTGTTGATGAGTGGAGCAATGGTCAGGCTTCTACAGGCAAGCCCTGCAGCTTTCTGCCTGTACCTCCACATGGGCTGGTCTGTTGATGAGTGGAGCAATGGTCAGGGCTTCTACAGGCAAGCCCTGCAGTTTTCTGCCTGTACCTCCACATGGGCTGGTCTGTTGATGAGTGGAGCAATGGTCAGGCTTCTACAGGCAAGCCCTGCAGCTTTCTGCCTGTACCTCCATATGGGCTTGTCTGTTGAGTGGAGCAATGGTCAGGCTTCTGAAGGCAAGCCCTGCAGCTTTCTGCCTGTACCTCCATATGGGCTTGTCTGTTGAGTGGAGCAATGGTCAGGCTTCTGAAGGCAAGCCCTGCAGCTTTCTGCTTGTACCTCCATATGGGCTGGTCTGTTGAAAGATGCAGGGCTTGTAAATGAAGTATGAAAAAGCTCATTAGCGCCCTCACAGTCCAACTACAAGCTGTCAGCCACAGTGGCTGATGGTAGTTGCAGTCTAACCATTAAAAGTAAACTCCGAAAGAATGAAGTGGCCGTGTGGGTGACAGCAGGTGTGGGGAGGCGATCCCCTGCCCACTGTAATACCAAAGGGGGGGGGTGAGGTGGAACTGGCTGCAGGGGCTGGAACATGTTACATGTTACACCCTAAATATGGGTGGACCATGTTCCTAAAGGTGCTTTCTGTAATTGTATAGTGAAAGAATGTTTGTTAATACTATACCGAACTTTCATAAAAACCTTTAAAAAAAAAAAAAAAAAAAATCATTAGTAATGAGAAAGATCCTGGATCCAAAGTTATACCTGACTGTGTACATGGGAAACCAGCAGAATTTTCAGGCTCTTCATATGAGAGCTTCTGTCCAGCAATTCGACGGCTTTGTCCAAATCATCTTGTGTCTTCAATGGTATTACCAGCTACAGAGACAAAGAACACCCACCGGTTAGTTATGTTCGATCTGCTTTCATCTACAATATTATTATACAGTATTTATAAAGCGCCAATGGTTCGCTCAGCGCTGTACATTACAGAGGGGGACAGAACATGTGACAGAACAATACCAATACAATGCAAACCATGAGGGGATCGAGGGGCCCTGCTCTTGGAGCTTACAATCTAGGAGGGAGGGGATGGTGGCACAGGAGGAGATAGCTGTGGGGGATGGAGTGGTAGGAAGAGTGGAGGAGGTCGGCAAGGTAGCAGGGGGTGGGGTAGGCTTCCCTGAAGAGATGGGTTTTCAGGGTGCGCCTAAAGGAGAGGAGAGTAGGTGATAATCTGATGGGTTGGGGCAGGGAGTTCCAGAGGATGGGTGACACCCTGGAGATGTCCTGGAGGCGGGCATGGGAGGAGGAGACCAGGGAACTAGAGAGAAGGAGGTCTTGTGAGGAGCGGAGTGTGCGTGTTGGGTGGTACTTGGATATTAGGTCAGTGATGTAGTTCGGGGCAGTATGGTGGACGGCTTTGTACGTCAGTGTTAGGATTTTGAATTTGATCCGTTGGGCAATCGGAAGCCAGTGGAGGGATTGGCAGAGTGACTAATCATCATGTATTATGTATGTATGAAATCAGTTTATAGCCATATGCAGTTTGGAATTATTGGATCTACACTAGGCTTTATTCGCACTATACATCAGTTGTTCTGGAACTGCATTTGGGTATTTAGGGCATTAAGAAAGGATTTGCACAGCTTTGCCTACTGTCCTAACAATGATATATAATCCGATTTTTGAGATATGTGATAGAATGAGATGTGTGAATACCTTTTGCTTAGAGGCTGGGTTCACTCTAATGCGGTACGCTACATCGCATGTGATTCACACAGGAAACGCACCGCAATCCTGTGCAAATCACATGCAATTTGTGTGCGGTGCGATCGGAGCCGTACATTTTGTATGGCTCAAATCACACCGCACCTGCGCCAAAAAGGAGCAGGACCCTTTTTTGGGTCTGCACTAGAATCGGATCGCACAGGTATTCACACCCATGGGATCCGATTCTGCACATCGCACCGTGTTTTGTGGACCGATTTCGAGGTGTTAACATACACACCCACGTCGGTTCGCATGAACAGGGTGCGATTCTGATGCGGTGCGGAATTTGCACAGAAAACGCTGCGAATTCCGCACCGCATCAGTGTGAAACTGGCCTAAAAATGCTTTCCTGTGCTTTCTCTCAGAATAGTAACCACTAACACCAATAACTTTTTAGCTGTCTTCCCACTAACCACCAATGTGAAAGGCCATTCTCTATTGACCACTAGTGTTCTACATTAACTATGAGGAGGAACTACACAGGCCACCAATGTAGAGCTGGCCATACATGCTTCAGCTTTTTACATTCAGACAGCGGACAAAAAAAAAAATTGGATTCCCCCATCCAGACATTCAAGGTGGATGGGGGGATCCTCCCTGCTGCGCTACTGTATTCTGACATCGGGAAGACTGCCCTGCTGTCAGAATACACAGCTCAGCTCTGCAGCTGCTGATCAAGTGATTTTATCCCACAGGGCAGTTAAACACAAGTCGATCGATATATTGGTGTGTGGTCCCCCAGCTGCCATTCAGAGTGATATCATCCCGCCCCTTCCGGTCTTCTGCCTATAAAATACCAGAGAACCTGACAGCCAATCAGGTCTGAAGAAGAAGAAGCAAGTGCTATGAAAGGCATCACCTGACCCTGTTCCTGCCCCGCCATTGGTCTCCTGCCGAGGTCCCAACTTCCTTGCGGTCCACGCTGGTTTTGGCGCCATTTTCAAAAACTCTCTGCATTGCTGAAAACTGACGGCTGCATCTCTGCTCATCCTGCATAACCAGGATCCATCTTCACATCATCACTGGCAGACTGAGGGCTTACCAAAGGCATTCCTTTACCATGTGATTATACTTCTTACGTTTCTAAGTAGTTTTTAACCTCTTTTACCAATAAATCTTTAACCCTCAACACTGAGATTGGCGCCCCCTTGTGTCCGATTTGCAGACAATATAAGCCTATAGCAGTTGGGATGTTGTGTGCTGTATCTGCTTTAAGTGTCTCTCAAGGCAGCACAGTGGCTAAATGGTTAGCACTTCCGCCTGGCAGTACTCGGGTCGTTGGTTCGAATCCCAGCCACGGCACCTCCTGCCTGGAGTTTGCGTGTTCTCCCTGTGCTTGCGTGGGTTTCCTCCGGGTACTCCGGTTTCCTCCCACACTCCAAAGACATGCTGGTAGGTTAATTGGCTCCTGTCTAAATTGGCCCTTGTATGTGTATGTATGAATGTGAGTTAGGGACCTTAGATTGTACACCCCTTGAGGGTTAGGGACTGATGTGAATGTACAATATATATGTAAAAGCGCTGCGTAAATTGGTCGCCCAAATAAGCACCTGAAATAAATAAAGTAAATAAATAAGGCAAAAATAAAAGAAGGTGGCACAAATAGGAGGTTCATTCCCAATGTGCTTCTTCTATTCTTAGTTTTTGTGAAGTTATCTTGCCATTTCCCTGATTACTTGATGCTGGGCTGGTAGCTGCTATTGAAACAGCTAACCCCCCCCCCCCCAAGCATTTTCAGAACCTGAAATCAGGGAAAGAGGAGCCAAAGGTGGCGATGTCACTTCCGGTCTCAATCTCCCAAGTGTTGTCAGCACCCAGAAACATGGGAAACAGCGCCCGAGCGAATGTCGCTTCCTGTCTTGACGTCTCAAACGCCATCGGCACCGGGAAAGTCACTTTCTCCAGTACACATGCACTGCGCTCCAACAAAGCTCAGCCTGCACAAAGCATAGTCGGGCACATACAGCTCCTACCCTCCACCTCCTACTTTGGCAAGGGAACAGGAGTGAAAAAGGTGGGAACGTTCCTCCCCGTCTTGACATTAGGCCTCAGGGAAATCTGTTGAATTTATTTTAAATAAACTTCAGAGACTGAACTATTAATGTTAGAGCTGACATCTGGGCCATTGGTTATAGGTTGACGGTTCATCTATTTTAATACTGAGCTGGGATTTATCATGTCTGCACAGGAAGGCTTTTTTTTTTATGACAAATTTAGCTTAAAATATTTGGAGGGAAATCTAAAGCTCCAGCGGTTTTGCAGCTTCTTTATGGGTGACTCAGACTGGTGAGAGGTTTGCGGTGTTGGCGGGGTGCCACAAGTAACGCTGGGATGCCGCCAGTTTCTGTACACGGCCTGTTGCTTACACCAAGGTGATATCGGAGATTAAACTGCTTTCCTGATAGCTGCTGGAGGCAATTATTATGACTTTCAGAGTTGTACCACCGATTTTATTACCATGCACAACTAATGAAAACCTGCACTGTTGTTTTCTACTACTAGCACACTATTTATCATAAGTAGAACATAGTGTGGAGGCATCTGATCTCTGTCCCGTGGGGGGAGGTTCAGGATCTGATCTCTGTCCCGTGGGGGGAGGTTCAGGATCTGATCTCTGTCCCGTGGGGGGAGGTTCAGGATCTGATCTCTGTCCCGTGGGGGGAGGTTCAGGATCTGATCTCTGTCCCGTGGGGGTTCAGGATCTGATCTCTGTCCCCGTGGGGGGAGGTTCAGGATCTGTTCTCTGTCCCGTGGGGGGAGGTTCAGGATCTGTTCTCTGTCCCGTCGGGGGAGGTTCAGGATCTGTCCCGTCTCTGTCCCGTGGGGGGAGGTTCAGGATCTGTCTCTGTCCCGTGGGGGAGGGTTCAGGATCTGTTTCAGGATCTCTCTGTCCCGTGGGGGGGGAGGTTCAGGATCTGTCTCTGTCCCGTGTCCCGTGGGGGAGGTTCAGGATCTGTCTCTCTGTCCCGTGGGGGGAGGTTCAGGATCTGTTCTCTGTCCCGTGGGGGGGAGGTTCAGGATCTGATCTCTGTCCCGTGGGGGGGAGGTTCAGGATCTGATCTCTGTCCCGTGGGGGGAGGTTCAGGATCTGTTCTCTGTCCCGTGGGGGGAGGGTTCAGGATCTGTTCTCTGTCCCGGGGGGGAGGTTCAGGATCTGTTCTCTGTCCCGTGGGGGGGAGGTTCAGGATCTGATCTCTGTCCCGTGGGGGGAGGTTCAGGATCTGTTCTCTGTCCCGTGGGGGGGAGGTTCAGGATCTGTTCTCTGTCCCGTGGGGGGGAGGTTCAGGATCTGTTCTCTGTCCCGTGGGGGGGAGGTTCAGGATCTGTTCTCTGTCCCTGTGGGGGGGGAGGTTCAGGATCTGTTCTCTGTCCCGTGGGGGGGAGGTTCAGGATCTGTTCTCTGTCCCGTGGGGGGGAGGTTCAGGATCTGTTCTCTGTCTCTGTCCCGTGGGGGGAGGTTCAGGATCTGTTCTCTGTCCCGTGGGGGGAGGTTCAGGATCTGTTCTCTGTCCCGTGGGGGGGGGGGAGAGGTTCAGGATCTGTTCTCTGTCCCGTGGGGGGGAGGTTCAGGATCTGTTCTCTGTCCCGTGGGGGGGAGGATTCTCTGTCCCGTGGGGGGGAGGTTCAGGATCTGTTCTCTGTCCCGTGGGGGGGGGAGGTTCAGGATCTGATTCTCTGTCCCGTGGGGGGGAGGTTCAGGATCTGTCTCTGTCCCGTGGGGGGGAGGTTCAGGATCTGTTCTCTGTCCCCCGTGGGGGGGAGGTTCAGGATCTGTTCTCTGTCCCGTGGGGGGAGGTTCAGGATCTGTTCTCTGTCCCGTGGGGGGAGGTTCAGGATCTGTCTCTCTGTCCCGTGGGGGGGAGGTTCAGGATCTGTTCTCTGTCCCGTGGGGGGGAGGTTCAGGATCTGTTCTCTGTCCCGTGGGGGGGAGGTTCAGGATCTGTCTCTGTCCCGTGTCCTGATCTCTGTGGGGGGGAGGTTCAGGATCTGTTCTCTGTCCCGTGGGGGGGAGGTTCAGGATCTGTTCTCTGTCCCGTGGGGGAGAGGTTCAGGATCTGAGGTTCAGGATCTGTTCTCTGTCCCGTGGGGGGAGGTTCAGGATCTGATTCTCTGTCCCGTGGGGGGGGTTCAGGAGGTTCAGGATCTGATCTCTGTCCCGTGGGGGGGGGGGAGGTTCAGGATCTGATCTCTGTCCCGTGGGGGGAGGTTCAGGATCTGATCTCTGTCCCGTGGGGGGAGGTTCAGGATCTGATCTCTGTCCCGTGGGGGGAGGTTCAGGATCTGATCTCTGTCCCGTGGGGGGAGGTTCAGGATCTGATCTCTGTCCCGTGGGGGGGAGGTTCAGGATCTGATCTCTGTCCCGTGGGGGGAGGTTCAGGATCTGATCTCTGTCCCGTGGGGGGAGGTTCAGGATCTGATCTCTGTCCCGTGGGGGGAGGTTCAGGATCTGATCTCTGTCCCGTGGGGGGAGGTTCAGGATCTGATCTCTGTCCCGTGGGGGGGGAGGTTCAGGATCTGATCTCTGTCCCGCGTGGGGGGAGGTTCAGGATCTGATCTCTGTTCAGGATCTGATCTCTGTCCCGTGGGGGGGAGATCTCTGTCCCGTGGGGGGAGTTGAGAGTATCTGATCTGATCTCTGTCCCGTGGAGGGTTCAGGATCTGATCTCTGTCCCGTGGAGGGTACTGGATCTGATCTCAGTACTGTGGAAGGTTCTGGATCTGATCTCAGTACTGTGGAAGGTTCTGGATCTGATCTCAGTCCTGTGGAAGGTTCTGATCTCTGTACTGTGAAGGGTTTTAGATCTGATCTCTGTACGGTGAAATGTTCTGAACTCTGTACTGTGGAGGGTTCTGATGCAAACATAAAAGGTAAACCGCTCTCTTCTGCATTATTTCCGGTCACAGATTTCAGATATTTTGGAGTTACTGACCCAGAAAAGCTCTCAGACTAGAAAGTCCAAGTGAAGTAAAAACACCCGACCTGCATACTTGAGCAGCGATTCAGAGACTGGATGAAAATGACAATCAGGGAACTATGGCTTTTGAGAAAGGTCTGCAATGACACTCATTTTGTACAGGTTTCCTTTAAAAGTAAACCTGTAGTTTGCCCAGGCAAAGCAAAAGAGACACAAAGATTATTTCTCAATAAAACTGCGGCTCTTCTCCAACCAAAATAAAATGCTACAAATGGACCTTACGGTAAGGGTTTGTATCCTATTAAAATTGCAATCAAGTACTCCTCCATTTGTGAGCATGTGCATAACTGAGGCCTAAGGTTTGGTGGCTGACGTTTGGCAACTCGAACTGTCAGCTCCCTCCACAGATTTTCAATCGGATTAAGGTCTGGAGACTGGCTAGGCCACTCCAGGACCTTAATGTGCTTCTTCTTGAGCCGCTCCTTTGTTGCCTTGGCCGTGTGTTTTGGGTCATTGTCATGCTGGAACACCCATCCACGACCCATTTTCAATGCCCTGGCTGAGGGAAGAAGGTTTTCACCCAAGATCTGAGGGTACATTGCCCGTCCATCGTCCCTTTGATGCGGTGCAGTTGTCCTGTCCCCTTAGCAGAAAAACACCCCCAAAGCAGAATGTTTCCACCACCATGTTTCACAGTTGGGATGGTGTTCTTGGGGTCATAGGCAGCATTCCTCCCCCTCCAAACACGGCGAGTTGAGTTGATGCCAAAGAGCTCGATTTTGGTCTCATCTGACCACAACACTTTCCACCAGTCCTCCTCTGCATCATTCAGATGTTCAGTGGCAGACTTCAGAGGGGCCTGGACATGTGCTTTCTTGAGCAGAGGGACCTTGCGGGCACTGCAGGATTTCAGTCCTTGTCGGCGTGTGTGTTACCAATTGTTTTCTTGGTGACTGTGGTCCCAGCTGCCTGGAGATCATTGACAAGATCCTCACGTGTAGTTCTGGGATGATTCCTCACTGTTCTCATGATCATTGACACTCCACGAGGTGAGATCTTGCATGGTGCACCAGACCTAGGGAGACTGACACTTGTTTTGTGTTTCTTCCATTTGTGAATGATTGCACCAACTGTTGTCACCTTCCCACCAAGCTGCTTGGCCATAGTTTGGTAGCCCAGTCCAGCCTTGTGTAGGTCTACCATCTTGTCCTTGACATCCTTGGACAGATCTTTGGTCTTTGCCATGGTGGAGAGTTTGGAATCTGATGGTTTGATTGCTCCTGTGGACAGGTGTCCTTTATACAGGTAACAAAATAAGATTAGCAGCACTCCCTTTAAGAGACTGCTTCTAATCTCAGCTTGTTACCTGTATGAAAGACACCTGGTTCCTGCTGAATGATAGGGGATCAAATACTTATTTCCCTCATGAACATACAAATCAGTGCATAATTTGTTAGATGCATTTCTTTTGAATTTTGTGTTGCTATTCTGTCTCTCAGTGTTACAATACACCGAACATTCGATTTTTAGACTGATAGTTTGTGAGTGGGCAAACATTCAAAATCGGCAGAGGAGCAAATATGCATTTCCTTCACTGTAGGTGTAAAACATGGAATACTCACACAGTAAATCACACGTCTCTCCTGCTGCTGAAAACTAACACTGCAATCACTAAACTGCCGCACTGTGCTGACAGAACAGCAGTGGGCTCTCTTTTTTCCTCTTCTAGGAAGAAGTGTAACCGTTTTGTAAGGCAATTGTAAATGCATTTACCTCGTTATTACTGTAATGAAGATCCATGCACTGCCCGAAGGCCACTTTGGCCTTCGTGAAAAGGTCTTCCAGCAGAACAGGCCGGGGAAATTGTAGGATCCTGGAAAAACATCAAGTCATTGCATTAAGCCTGGTTTATTTCAGACATTAAAATGAGCTTTATTCTACATCAAAAGGTCAGTAACTGGAAAGGTAAAACGATGACTATGACAGCCAGAATGAGTCACTGGGATGCCGAAAAGAATAATGCAATAACAATTCATGAGCCAAAAGAAAACCGCTATAGTAAATACCTCTAAAGATGACAAAACGTTATTACAGTCGAGATTAAAAAAACTCTTTAACTAACCCCTTAAAAAAAGTGGTCATAAACCTCAGGCATGAAATATGAACAAAGCATATCTCCTCTATAGTGTGTACTTGTCTCAGTCCAGAGCACTAAGTGTCATTTCTGTTTCCTGCTTTATTCCTCTGCTATCAGCATGAGCCACTACTGACAAGTTGTACTGACACCAAGAGAAAAATGGTGATAGGAAGCTGTGTGTGTGTGTGCATCTGTGTGTGTGTGTGTACGTCTGTGTGTATTTCTGTGTACGTACATGTATCTGTGTGTATGCGTGTAGGCATGGGGGGGTTGTCTCTTCTCTCCAATCAGCTCTTAGAGCTCTGAAATTAAACTGGCTCATTGGCGCACCCTCTGACGATGTGCGTGGCACGTAACGCGCAAGGAGGAGCCTGCTCCTGACGTCACGCCGTCGGAGCATTGTGGAGCTCCGGCGGCCATTACGTTTTTGGGACGGTCCGTGTCTGATCTTACCGTTTCCTTATATGTTTTTGGATGCATCCCTGATTACCGTATTTTTCGCCGTATAAGACGCACTTTTTCTTCTTCCCCAAAACTGGGGGGGGGGAAATGTCAGTGCGTCTTATGGGGCGAATATGGAGCGGCTGGTCCGGTATTTCCACCGCGGCCGTGTCAGAATACCGGGCCGGCCGCTCAGCTCTGCAGCGGGACCTTACCTGTTCCTCTATCCAGCGGCGCGCTGTCTTCCCGGCTTCAGTAGTGTGGGCACTGGGCATGACAGCCGGGTGCCAAGTGCGCATGCGCAAGAAGCGGTGCTTTTTGTGAATGGTAAGGCGGTACCTGGGACACATGACAGATCCCAGAAGCCGCCGGACCAATCACAAAGCTTAAGTGCTTCTCGCTCATGCGCACTGGGCACCCGGCTGTCATGCTGAGCGCCATTACAGAAGCCGGGAAGACAGCGCGCGGCTGGATCGAGGAACAGGTAAGATCAAACAAAAACTCTGCGGAAGCGGAAGTAAGACCCGAGCGGGTACCTGTCAAATTCAGGTACCCGCTCCCCACCTCCCCAAAGGTCAGCAGTCATCTGTACTGTCCGCAGTCTCTGGTCTCATCCCTGTACTGTGTCCGCAGTCTCTGGTCATCCCTGTGTGTCTGTCCGCAGTCTCTGGTCATCTCCTGTACTGTGTCTGCAGTCCATTAGTTCAGAATTTTTTTTTCCTGTTTTCTGCCTCTAAAACCTAGGTGCGTCTTATGGTCAGGTGCGTCTTATACGGCGAAAAATACGGTATCTGTTCAATAAATTTGTTTTACCCTACTACACTATGGGCGCCTTTTTGCTTTGACCCCGTGTGGGGAGAATCTCTTTTTCAGACACCTTTTGCTCCGGGTTTATCCAGAAAGGGAGGCACCTGTCACCATTAGAGCTACACCTACTTATCTCTAAAGGGAAACTCTGGTCTGGAGCATTAACCTACTAGTGTTCTTGAACCTGATCCACTCTGAGAGGGAAATCATCCTGCCTGCTGATCCAGATGTGTAGTTCGGCCCATACCAGGAAGCAATTTGTTCATTGCACTTTAATAGTGCACTTCCGGTGAGTGCGCATTTCTACTATTTATCACAAGGCACTTTCACCGATCTGGAATTGCGGGGACTTTTATTGTGGAATTATTAACCTTTTACACTATTGTATCACATTTTAGCACTGCACTATTTTTATGATAGCTCTCAGAGCTCTCCTCACTGAGCTCTGCAGTGTGTAATTTCAGTTCTCTGCCCCGTTTTCAAAACTCTATAAATTAAGGATTTTGAACAGATGTAGAGAAGACTGCAGATAATCCTTCTACATAAGTTGTGCCTGTTTGTGTTCATTTCTTTGTCATCACCCGACGCCAGTCACTTCACTGGGTATATGTTCATTTACAGCCACTATAAAATGAACCTGTTATTTGCCCATTCAGGGCAAAGCAGCACTTAACCGCTGCCTTTCCAGCTGCGCAGACTTGCTTTCCAGCCCTCAGACCATGTCTGGAGTCTCAATGGACCCAAAGCTCTCCTGGGACCTTGGTGTCCTCAGAGGCAGAATGTCTCTGCAGTCTCTCCACCCCTTCGAGCTGTCCAAGAAAGGGGGACTAAGTGGTCACATGACCGCCACAAAAAGCACCTAAAAAAAGAATGTCTATTTTTTTATTTCTTGACTGTGTGTTTATAACTTGCTGTGGTTAATAAATCAATCTTCCCATTTGCTGACTGACTAAAGTATCTGGAAAGCATTAATGGCTGTGAGTGCACACAGTGCGAGATATGAAATGACCTTTGATCCCATGGGACAGGAGGAGTGTAATCATAGCTCATACCAGGCACTTGTTTTCTCTGCCTTGGAATGTGAGGGAGCTGGAAGTACAGGGACTAGCATTGATAAGAACCAGTGCAGGAATACATCACCCATTACCCTTCATTGCAACTGGTTTCCTCCAATGGCCATAGCAAAGCATCTATTAAATTCTTCGAGACATTGTTACTAGGAAAGTGGTTGTAATGCAAGGTTTTTTTTTTTGTACCTTATTTATTGCAGATACTTATATCGCGCCGTCAATTTATGCAGCGCTTTACATATATATTGTACATTCACATCAGTGCCTAACCCTCAAGGGGCGTACAATCTAAGGTCCCTAACTTACATTCATACATACACATACTAGGGACAATTTAGACAGGAGCCAATTCATCTACCAGCATGTCTTTGGAATATGCATTCTATTAAAGTATTGCTAAACCCAGGACCCCACATTCACTCTGTCCGCTCTCCCCGGACCCCGCATTCACTCTGTCCGCTCTCCCCGGACCCCGCATTCACTCTGTCCGCTCTCCCCGGACCCCGCATTCACTCTGTCCGCTCTCCCCGGACCCCGCATTCACTATATCTGGTCTCCCGAACCCCGCATTCACTATATCTGCTCTCCCCGGACCCCGCATTCACTCTGTCCGCTCTGCCCGGACCCCGCATTCACTCTGTCCGCTCTCCCCGGACCCCGCATTCACTATATCCGCTCTCCCCGGACCCCGCATTCACTATATCAGGACCCCCGCATTCACTATATCAGGTCTCCCGAACCCTGCATTCACTATATCAGGTCTCCCGAACCCTGCATTCACTATATTCGCTCTCCCTGGACCCCGCATTCACTATATCCGGTCTCCCTGGACCCCGCATTCACTATATCCGGTCTCCCCGGACCCTGCATTCACGCTATCCGGTCTCCCCGGACCCTGCATTCACGCTATCCGCTCTCCCCGGACCCTGCATTCACGCTATCCGCTCTCCCCTGACCCTGCATTCACTATACCCGCTCTCCACGGACCCTGCATTCACTATACCCGCTCTCCACGGACCCTGCATTCACTATACCCGCTCTCCACGGACCCTGCATTCACTATACCCGCTCTCCACGGACCCTGCATTCACTATACCCGTTCTCCCCGGACCCTCATTCACTATACCCGGACCCCACGGACCCTGCATTCACTATACCCGTTCTCCCCGGACCCTGCATTCACTATACCCGCTCTCCCCGGACCCCGCATTCACTATATCTGGTTTCCCCGGACCCTGCATTCACTATATCTGCTCTCCCAGGACCCTGCATTCACTATATCCACTCTCCCTGGACCCTGCATTCACTATATCCACTCTCCCTGGACCCTGCATTCACTATATCCACTCTCCCCGGACCCTGCATTCACTATATCCGCTCTCCCCGGACCCTGCATTCACTATATCCGCTCTCCCCCGGACCCTGCATTCACTATATCTGGTTTCCCCGGACCCTGCATTCACTATATCCGGTCTCCCCGGACCCTGCATTCACTATATCCGGTCTTCCCGGACCCTGCATTCACTATATCTGGTTTCCACGGACCCTGCATTCACTATATCTGGACTCCCACAGTGCACAGAGCATGGAAATGCAATAATTTAGTAAATATAAATTGTTAAACACCTTTTCTCATCAGCAGTATATAGCAGTCTTGTGACTTCTATCTATGTCCAGAAAAAGCACTGATTAATTTTGCAGGATGAGTTTTCATTCACCCCTGACTATCAAATAAGGCTGCATGACCCCTGACCCTCTGTCTGGACAGTGCGGATTGGCCCTGTGCTGATCACATACACTCTCCCAAGAAAAAAAAAAAAACCTCTAGCAATACACACCAAAATGAGGATGTGCAACTTGCCCCCAAGGCTCTGTTCTATCAGCAGATGGATTGGGGACAGTAGAAGAAGGGGTAGATCACAGACGACAGGATCAATCATCCTTTTTGCGCAATGCAGAGGAATAATCCCTCGGCTTCCACAGTGGGTGTACAGTAAAGCTTCTGTGGTCTGCTCTATCTCCAGTCCCCCTCATACTCACTTGAGCCCAACTTCAATTCAGCGATGTGCACGAGAGCAGCAGCTCTCTCTTTCTCTCCTCATTGGTTCAGAGACAGCAGCAGGAGCTATTGGCTAACACTGCTGTCAATCGCAGCCAGTGACAGGGGGGGGGGTGTTACACTGAGCCATGGTATGTGTTTCAATGGACACACAGAGCAGGGCTTGGGCATGCATGAGTTGAGTTACTCCATAGCAAGTGGCAAGTGTTAGGCAGTGGGGTGCGTGGGTGTCTCAAGTCAGGAGCACTGGTAGGGGGGCCTAAGAAGCGAAGGATCAGGGCTTCTCTGTGCAAAACCAGAGCAGGTAAGTAGAACGTTTGTTATTTAAAGAAAAAAAATCCTAGGTTTACAATCATTTTAATATTTACTGAAAAGTGAAGCTGTTTGTTGAACAAAAGTTAAAAAAACAGAACCTCTTCCCACAGCAACCAAAATGTGGTTTTAGGTTCGGTTCTCTCTAAAACATCGAGGCATGAAACCCAACTGGTTGCTCTACTCAGAACCTATCATTAAAGTGTACAGCCAAAGTATTGTTTGTTGGAGAAAGGTCAGAGGTCAGGGTCACTGTTTGCTGTACATGTCCAACCAAAAAGATTTCCCTTCACTTTGTTTCGAAAGCACAAGTAAAAAGGGAAGTTCCCTCTTATACGTGAATGAAAGCCAAAAAATAGTAAAATGTTTCCTTTTCACACACTTTACAGTATACATGCAGTGCAGGGTACCGGTCACTGTCACCAAATCACATTTTTCTAAGCAGGAAAGCATCTCTGCCAGGGGTGCTGGAGAAGCTGCATCAGCAGTTTACACCTATAGGGCTTGTTCACACGTGACTTCTTCCCAAACACCCCTATAGCATTAGACAGGCGTTTACAATCATTACCCCCTTCCAGTCCGGACACTTTTCCCCCCCTCCAGTCCGGACACTTTCCCCCACCTTCCAGTCCGGACACTTTTCCCCCCTTCCAGTCCGGACACTTTTCCCCCCTTCCAGTCCGGACACTTTTCCCCCCTTCCAGTCCGGACACTTTTCCCCCCTTCCAGTCCGGACACTTTCCCCCCCCCCAGTCCGGACACTTTTTCCCCCCTTCCAGTCCGGACACTTTTCCCCCCCTTCCAGTCCGGACACTTTTCCCCCCCCTTCCTGTCCGGACACTTTTCCCCCCCTTCCTGTCCGGACACTTTCCCCCCCCCCCCCCCCTTCCCCCCCTTCCAGTCCGGACACTTTCCCCCCCCCCCCCCCTCCAGTCCGGACACTTTCCCCCCCCCCTCCCCCCCCCTTCCAGTCCGGACCCTTTCCCCCCCCCCCTTCCAGTCTGGACACTTTCCCCCCCCCTTCCAGTCCGGACACTTTCCCCCCCCCCTTCCAGTTCCCAGTCCGGACACTTTCCCCCCCTTCCTGTCCAGGCCAATTTTCAGCGCTATCACCCTTTGAATGACAATTGTGCAGTCATGCAACATTGTACCCATATGAATTTTTTAGCATTTTTTAGAGACAGAGAAAGCTTTATTTTGGTGGTATTTATTCACCACTGGGATTTTTTTTTTTTTTGCTATATAAATGAAAGTCCAAAAATTTTGAAGAAAAGGGTTTTTCTTATAAAATTTTGCAAATAAATAATATTTCATCATAAATCTTGTCCAAAACATATTCAGTTATCTTTTTAGTGTAGTAAAAAAAAAAAAAAAAAAAATAACCCAAATTAGTTTATAACCAAAAATTATAATAAAATAAATTGTTTACATTTTTATATTATTTATGGTTTTTTCTCCCTACATTGCAACACTGTCACTGTACTACTGGTGGGGGATGATGAAGATTTTTTTTTTTTTTTTTACACTGATTGCTTTTACACCCATAAAGGCTCCTTCTCTCTGGCTGCATTCTTGCAGCGATTGAGAAATACTGTGTGAGCTGAGATTGGTCACATGGTACAAGGGTGTTGTGAATAGCCTTGTACCATGTGATCTCTGTGATCATTCACAGATTTCATACGTAGTAAGCAATGATGTCAGAAGTGACATCTTGCTTACTACTCTGCATGTGATCACTGATTGGCCAGTCAGTGATCACATGATCGGGACCTCGCACAGAGGTCCTGTACAGCGATCGGTGTTCCACTGTGTCCGGAGGACACAGCGGGCACCGGATCGCGGTGCTGCGCGCACCCACAGAACGCGCCAGTCCAAAATGGCGGGCGCCGTTTATGAACGGCAACCCGCCCCTGGACTGCCACTGTCCGGTCGTTTATATATACAGCAGCCAGACGGCAAGTGGTAAAAAATGCTCTCCCCAAATGCCCTTTTATGAGCAGTTTTGAGGCGTTTTTAGAAGCATTAAAACCGTACCACAAACACCTATAATGAACTTAATGGTATTAACGCCCAGAAAACACCTGCCAGGCATTTGCCCAGCCTCACCATTTGAATGGGAGGTGTTGAAAGGCTTCAAATCCTCCTGACTGGAGGTGTCAAATTTGACGCGACGCTAAAGCTTCAGTGTAAACAGCACTGTGGGCTGCCATGTGTATCATCTTCATGAAAAACGCCCCTCAAAACGCCTGCTTTCAACGCTAGTGTGAAACTGAGCCTTTGGGAACAGCTTTAGGTAGCCCTGGATGTGCACAGTCAGCCTAAAGATCATTCTTGTCTTACCTTTTCTCTCCACGATGTTCAAATTTAACACGAACATCATTCTGCAATGAAAAAAAAAAAATTAAAAATGAAGATAGGCAATGCAAAAGCAATACAACCTTCACCGAAATAAAAAGTGCAATGATACCTTACAGCAATGTGACAGACCAGAAAAAAAAAACATGGCTTTTACTAAAAAACCAAGATGGTCCTTAAGTGCTTTCCCGCTGCCTTATAGCAGAAATACTGCTACAGGGCGGCAGGGGTGCACAAAATCACGTATATATATGTGATTTTGTATTTCCGGGGGGGAGTTACAGAGCGCGAGGGCCATGTGAGGGTGGGGAGTTACAGAGCGCGAGGGCCATGTGAGGGTGGGGAGTTACAGAGCGCGAGGGCCGGGTGAGGGTGGGGAGTTACAGAGCGCGAGGGCCGGGTGAGGGTGGGGAGTTACAGAGCGCGAGGGCCGGGTGAGGGGGGTGAAGTACAAGCAGAGCGCGAGGGCCGGGTGAGGGGTGGGGAGTACAGAGCGCGAGGGGGGGGTGAGGGGTGAAGTAACAGAGCGCGAGGGGCGGGTGAGGGGGGGGGGGTGAAGTAAATAGCGATAGCGAGGGGGCCGGGCGAGGGGGGTGAAGTAGAGCGAGAGGGCGGGGGGAGAGGGGTGAGGGAAGTACAGAGCCCGACGAGGGGCGGGAGAGGGGTGAGGGAGTACAGTAGCGAGAGCGAGAGGGTGGGGGAGAGGGGTGAGGGAAGTACAGAGCGAGAGGGGCGGGGGGAGAGGGGTGAGGGAAGTATAGAGCGAGAGGGCCGGGAGAGGGTGAGGGAAGTACAGAGCGAGAGGGCCGGGAGAGGGGTGAGGGAAGTTAGAGCAGAGGGGCCGGGTGGGGTGGGGGGCCAAGTACAGGGGGGTGAGGGGGGGGAGTTAAAAGTTACAGAAAGAGTTACAGAGCCCCTAGGGGCCGGGAGAGGGGGTGAGGGAAGTACAGAGTGAGAGGGCCGGGAGAGGGGGTGAGGGAAGTACAGAGCGAGAGCGAGAGGGCCGGGTGAGGGTGAGGGAAGTACAGAGCGAGAGGGCCGGGAGAGGGGTGAGGGAAGTACAGAGCGAGAGGGCCGGGAGGGGTAAATAGGGAAGTACAGAGCGAGAGTAGGCGAGAGGGCCGGGGAGAGGGGGGGAGGGAAAGTACAGAGCGAGAGGGGGCCGGGAGAGGGGTGAGGGAAGTACAGAGCGAGAGGGGCGGGGAGAGGGGTGAGGGAAGTACAGAGCGAGAGAGGGCCGGGAGGGGAGGTGAGGGAAGTACAAAGCGAGAGGGCCGGGGGGGGGTGAGGGAAAACAGGGGAGAGGGAAGTACGGGAGAGGGGGTGAATGGGGAAGTACCCTGAGAGCGAGGGGCCGGGAGAGGGGTGAGGGAAGTACAGAGCGAGAGGGCCGGGAGGGGGTGAGGGTGAGGGAGCGTACAGGGCGAGAGGGGGGAGAGGGGTGAGGAAGTACAGAGCGAGAGGGCCCGGGTGAGGGGGTGGGGAGGTACAGAGCGAGAGATCCGGGACAGAGTTGGGGAGGTACAGATTGAGAGGGCCAGGTGAGGGTGGGAAGGTACAGAGCGAGAGCGCGCCCAGTGAGAGGAGGAAGGGGAGAAAAAGAAATAGGAAGCAGTAACATAAATGTATTTAACAAGCTGGAGGGCATACTCAAACATCAAAAGTATATATATCCAGCTTATCACCCCCTCCCTTAAACACCGGAAGGAGAAATAAAATGACGGTGCAAAATGTGGTGGAAGCAAACTTTCCCACCCCACAAAGGTAGGACTGAAGCGTCACACTACCTGCTTCTTGGGTGAGGTGGATTTGGAGCCGCCGGATTCTTCATGCAGAGACAGGGCAGGTCTGCTGGCCTTATGTAAGACAACGAGATCCTGCATGATAGAATCCAGGGCCTGCTGCTCATCTATGAAATGAAGGGATGGCAGTGTGTCATACACAGCAAATACAGGAATAACAACATCTCTAACTGTAAATGACAGGAGCAAAACTATTTTTCTGGTCCATCTCATTATTATTATTGATTATATTAGGCTGCAGTATTCAATCAATCACAAAAAATCCCAGGTTTTACAACACCACGCATTACAATTAGGCCTCGTGCAAGCTGTGCTGGGAATGCAGAAGAGCATATGGACATCGTACCTTCGCAGCCGAACTGCTTTCCCAAACCAAAAAAACCTGCAGAAGAACGCAGCCTCTGCAAACGCAACCCCCTCCATCCATTGTAATTCATGGCAGCAAAAATGTAAAAAGCAAAACAGGGATCCCTGCACACACACCACAACACACAAACAAAACAACACCCACCACAAACAAACACACACACACACCACCCCCCCCCAAAAAAAAAACAACAAAAACCACACAAACCCAAAAAACACACACAAAAAACACACACCACAACCCCAACCCAAACCCAACAACCACACAACCCCCCCCCCACCCACCCCCAAAACCCCACACACAAAACCCCCACACCCAACAACCCAACCACCACAACCCACACACACACCCAAAACCCCAAAACACCACACACACCCACAACCCCCCCCCAAACCAAACACACCACAAAACACACCACCACCCCCCACACCAAAAAAACAAAAAAAACCCCCAAACCCCAAACAAAAAAAAACCCCCCCCCAAAAAAAAAACACAAACCAACACAACCCCACCCAAACCCAACAAACACACCCACACACCACACAAACACAAAAAAAAAAACCCACACCCAAAAACACCCACAAAAAACCACAACCCCCAACAAAAAACCCCCCAAAAACAACAAACACCAACAACCAAACCCCACACCAACAAACCACCCCCCAACCCACCAAACAAAAAAAACCCACAAAAAAAAAAAACCACACACACAACAAAACAAAACACAAACACACACACCAACACCCCAAACCCCACACAAAACCCAAACAAAAAAACACCCAAACAACCAAACAAAAAACCAAAAAAAAAAAAAAAACAAAAAAAAACCCACAAAACCCCCCCAAAAACCCCCAAAAAAAACCCAACCCCCCAAACAAACCAAACCCAAACCACACACACAAAAACACCCCCACACCCCCCCCCCCACAACCAAAAAAACCCAAACACAAAAAAAAAACCCAAAAAAAAACCCAAAAAAAACACAACCCAACAAAAAAACACCCCCACACCCAAAAACCCAAAAAACAACCCAAACCCCCAAACACACACCCAAAAACACCCCCCCACCCCAAAAACCCCCCACCCCCCCACACACACAACAACACACACACCCCCCAAAAACCCACAAACCCCCCCCCAAAAAAAACCACAACCAACACACAAAAAAAACACACCCCACCCCCAAAACACCCCCAACACCCCCCAACACCAAACCCCAAAACACCCCCCAAACCCACCCCCCCCCCACACACCACACCCCCAACAAACCCCCCCCCCAAACACAACCCCCAACAAAAACACACACAAACCACAAAAACCCAAAACACACACAACAAAAACCCACCAAAAACCACCCACCCACAAACCAAACACCCCCCCAAAAAACCCAAAAAACAAACCCACACAAAAAAAAAAAACACAACACCACAAAACAACCAAAAAAAAAAACAAACCAAACCCCAAAAAAAAACAAAACAAAACACACCACAAAAACCAACAAACCACACACAACCAACACAAAACCAAAAAAAAAACAAAAAAACAAAAAACACACACAACCCCAAAACCCAAAAAAAAAACCCCCCAAAAACCCCCCCCAAAAACCCAAAACCAAACCAAAAACCAAAACCCCACAAACACACCCACAACCCCCCCCCCCCCCCCCAACCCAAAAAACACAAAACAAAACAAACCCCACACACAACCACACACACCACACACAAAAAAAAACACACCCCCCCCCCCAAACCAAAACCCCACACACAACCCCCACCCCACACAAAAAACCCAAAACACAACAACAAAAAACCCAACAAAAAACCCAAAAACCAAACCCAAAAAAAAAAAAAAAACAACCCCAAAACCCCACAACCCACCCACCACCCACCCAAAACACCCCACAAAAACCAAAAAAACCACAACCCACACACCCCCAAAAAAACCACAAACAACCAACCCAAAAACACCACACAAAAACACCCCACAAACACACACCCCCCCAAACACAACACAAACAACCAAACACCCCCACACACAAACACCACACCCACACACAAACAAAAACACACACAAACAAAACAAACCCCAAAAAAAACCCCAACACAAAACCCAAACCCCAAAAAAAAAACACACACCCCCCACCCAAAAAACCCCCCCACCAACCCCCAAAAAACAACCCACACCCCACCCAACACCCCCCCCCCCAAAAAAAAACAAACACCCCCCCCCCCAAAACCCACCCACCCAAAAAACCAACACCCCACAAACCCAAAAAAAACCCCCCCCCCCCAAAACCCCCCCCAACCAACCCACCACCCCAAACACACACCAACACACCCCCCACACCCAAAAAACACAACAAAAACACAAAACCCCACACACCCCACCCAAACCACAAAACACCAAAACAACACCAACACACACACCAAAACACAAAAAACAACAACCCACAAAACAACCAAAACAAACAAACCCCCCCCACCCAAAACCCCCACACACACACCCAAAAAAAAAACCAACCACCACACACCACCCCCCAAAAACACCAACCCCACACAAAAAAAAAACACACCAACACAAAACAACACACACCCCCACCCCCCAAACACACACAACCACAAAAACAAAACACACACAAAAACAACACAAAACAAAACCAAAACCCAAAAACACACAAAAACCAAAAAAAACAAAAAACACACAAAAAACAAAACACAAAAACAAAACAAAAAAAAAAAACACAAAAAAAACACACCAAAAAAACAAAAAACACACCACAAACACACAAAAAAAAAACACAAAAAAAAAACATGTACACACACATTTAACATACACAAAAAAAAAAAAAAAAAAAAATACAAAAAAACAAAAAAAAAAAACATGTACAAAAAAAAAAAACACATGCAAAAAAAAAAATAAATGTGCAACAAAAAAACACAAAAACAAAAACACAAAAAAACACAAAAAAAAAAAAAAAAACAAAAAAAAACAAACACACAAAAAAAACACACAAACATAAAAACACAAAAACATGTACGTACAAAAACACACAAAAAAAAAAAACACAAAAACAACAAAAAAAAAAAAAAAAAACAACAAAAACCACTGTTAAGTGCTCTCTCCCTCTCCCCTGAAAAAAAAACTGGCTGAAAAAAAAAAAATCAAAAACAAACCCCTGCCCATTTGGAACTCAAAAAACAAACATGGACTGCCACACCATGCGCCCGTTATCCCTTTTGAATAAATTAAAAAACACACAAAAAAAAAAAAAAAAAAAAAAAAAAGTACTTCGTTGTTCACTCACAAAAAAAAAAAAAAAACTCTAAAAAAAAAAGAGCACAGCACACACTCCTTCCTTTGCTGTCACTGCGCTCAAAAATTGAGCAGTCTGAAAAAACCCCAGTGCCAATGACAGATCCAAAAAAAAAAAAAAAAAAAAAAAAGCAAAAACGGCCCTGGGGGACACACTCGCCCCCGCCAAAAAAAAACTCGCAAAAAAAAATTTCAAAAAAAAAAAAAAGGGCTGTTGTTTACTAACAAAAAAAAAAATTGACCAAAAAAATGCAAACATTGCTGCCAAAAGCCAAAAATGAAAAAATTATAAACTGCAAAAAAATCAGTGGAAAAAAACAGACTGCCAGGGGCAACAAAAAAAAAAAAAATTTTAAAACACCCAAAAAAAAAAAAAAAAAAAAAAAAACTGAAAAAAAAAAAAAAAAATGAACTCGCAAAAAAAAAAAAATACCCCAGGACTGCATGACACGGTCAAAAAAAAAAAAAAACACTGGGGTTGGTTTAAAAAAAAAAATAAAAAAAAATTTAAAAAAAAAGGCAAACTTAACCTTTGCCTGTCCTTTAAAAAAAAAAAAAAAAAAAATCCCTTAAAAAAAAAAAAAAAAAAAAAAAAAAAAAAAAAAAAAAAAAAAAAAAAATCAAAAAAAAAAAAAACAATGTGATTGGCCATTACAAAAAAAACATGATCATCAAAAAAAAAAAAAAAAAAACCAATAAAAAAAAAAGACCGAAAAAAAAAAAAAAAGCTCGGTCCCTGTGCTGGGAAAAAAAAAAAAAAAAAAAAAAAAAAAAAAAAAAAAAAAAAAAAAAAAAAAAAAAAAAAAAAAAAAAAAAAAAAAAAAAAAACTGCCCTTCTGCCAAAAATGTGTACGCAAAAAAAAAAAAAAAAAAAAAAAATTTGGCCCCAGTTTGTGTATGTATTAAAATAAAAAAAAAAAAAAAAAAAAAAAAAAAAAAGAAAAAAAAAAAAAAAAAAAAAAAATAAAAAAAAAAAAAAAAAAAAAAAAAAAAAAAAAAAAAAAAAAAAAAAAAACTTAAAAAAAAAAAAAAAAAAAAAAAAAAAAAAAAAAAAAAAAAAAAAAAAAAAAAAAAAAAAAAAAAAAAAAAAAAAAAAAAAAAAAAAAAAAAAAAAAAAAAAAAAAAAAAAAAAAAAAAAAAAAAAAAAAAAAAAAAAAAAAAAAAAAAAAAAAAAAAAAAAAAAAAAAAAAAAAAAAAAAAAAAAAAAAAAAAAAAAAAAAAAAAAAAAAAAAAAAAAAAAAAAAAAAAAAAAAAAAAAAAAAAAAAAAAAAAAAAAAAAAAAAAAAAAAAAAAAAAAAAAAAAAAAAAAAAAAAAAAAAAAAAAAAAAAAAAAAAAAAAAAAAAAAAAAAAAAAAAAAAAAAAAAAAAAAAAAAAAAAAAAAAAAAAAAAAAAAAAAAAAAA